TCGCTTGGCTTGATCAAGTATACATTTTTTAGCTATATTGGTTCAGGCTAATTTATGCAAATAATTTTGTTCTAATCACAAGGAACTTTAATTATTATAGGTAATACAAACGTTTACTGCGATAACTACTCTGAAGGCTGCTACATATTCCATTGTTCATTGTAGTCAAATAGAGACTTAAATGTACAGGTGATAATTCCACTTGGTATATTGCTGAATGTGTGACAGTGTGAAGATTTACAGAAATGATCTATGTAGAATCTGTTGCGAGAACAAAGAACTATACAGGGAACAATGCGTGTTAATCTTGTCCAGATGTTTTTTTTAAAAAAAATTAATTACTCTAGTGAATCTGTTGCTAATGAATTAAGTCACTTGTAACAAATGTCCTTAATTTGTCTTTGCCTGTTTAAAATGATTTAAGAGGCAGTTTTTTCTAACAATAATATGAAACTGAAAACTATTTTACGGACAATTATATTTTGCATAATTATATTTTTTTTCGTTCACCCAGAAAACATTATCTCAACAGGGCCTGTGCTCCAATTAGGAGGCCGTTTAGAGTGCTTCTTAAGGGAGGCACCGGCAGTGGCAGTTACTGATCGTTTGGCCACCCCTCTATAAAGTTGGATCAATTATTTACAGCGTGCTGTTCGCCATGTTACCGGGAGCACTTACATGGCTGTAGACTAGCGCTTTGTCGAACACTGGTCTGGCATCCACCTCAACCTGCAAAGCCAGGAGCCCCTCCCAGACATGAGACATCCACTGCGGTAGTGCAGGTGCTCATAATTTGCTTGCTTCTGCCCATTGCCCTGTACGTGGGGACAAGTGGGCGGGAGGATAGCAGGAGCTGGGGCTGAGAAAATGAGTGACAGGCCTCCAGGCAGCAAGGTGATATATGCAATGAAGGTAAAAGGGTAATGGGACCTTGCAGTATGTATTTCAGAGAATGTGTGTCAGTGTGCTTCAGTCAGTATGTTTGTGTATGTCAGTCGGCATGTCAGTGTGTGTGTGTCTGAATTGGTCAGTGTGTGTGTGCGTATCAGCCTGCAAAAGTCAGTGTGTGTCAGTCTGCTTGGGTCAGTGTGTGTTTGTTTGTGTGTCAGTCTGCTTGAGTAAGTATGTGTTTTTGTATGAATCAGCCTGCTTTAGTCAGTGTGTGTGTCAGTCTGCATGGGTCAGTGTTTGTCTACTTGAGTCAGTGTGTGTCAGTCTGCAGGTGGACCGAATGGGGCGGCAACCTTTTTTTGCATAGCCGGCAAAAATCCTTGAACCAGCCCTGCATCTCAATGAAATGATCTAGGTGCAGTGGTTCTGTAATTTGTAACCCTGCAATGTAAGTATTGAAGATTTTTAGAAACAGTATTGTTTACATTGCAGGGTTAAACACACCTCTAGTAGATGTGTTGCAGACAGCCACTAGAGGCGCACCCGCTACACTGACAGAGTAAAACTCTATCACACAATGTGGAAGCTCTTGACTTATTGAATTAAATGCTTTCCTATGAGAAGCAGTAGGTGTGTGCACAACACTCATATGCAGCAGGTTTGCAATGCTCCTTGAACAAAGCTTTTTAACGTAGGGTGCACTTTTATACTGGAAACTGGGGGGCTCTGAATCTATCTAGGGACAGAGGTACTATAGTGTTTCTAGTGCCGGTTTGTATTCCTAACACGATAGTATTAATTCAAGAGACAGGTGTATAGTGAACTGCAACCTGGCATAGACAGAATCAAGTTAAAATTCTTCCAAATGTTTAGGTTGTGTGAGGGGCAAATAAGGCCGTAAAGGAAATAAAAGGGGGAGGGGAATAAGTCGGTTGTGGTGTGCCGGAACCGACGTCGTGGTAGGCCTGTAATAAAAGAGGGCAAAAGGAAACCTGTTTAAAAGCAATCAACAACCTTAAATAACCTATCTGTGTGGTAACAGCTGAGTGAGTAATGAGGCGCCCGGCGCTTACAATGGCCCTCTAACTTGTGCGAGGGGAAGTAAGGAAAAACATGTTGGCCATCTAGCGTAAACTGGGTGTGGGGTAGAGAAAGTAAACATTAGACTGCATAAATAGGTGAGATTTCCTGAGACAGTGCTGCAAAAAAACAAAAACGTGGTGACTGTGGGAGATATGTGTGTTCACGAGAAACTGTATAGCGGCTTGACAACTAGACTACCTAGTAACTTAGCTAAAGACTAGCGTCCCCCAATTCTGGCCTACCTCACGTCTGTGATTAAAACTGTTGATCCAAAAGAAGGCGAAAAACCCAGTTTGATGCGCTTTCCAATTTGCAACAAGCTAGGGAAAGCATTCCTTCTTGACCCCATAATGGCAGTCGGATTTGTCCTTGGATCAAGCAGATATCGCCCTACATTGAAAGTTGATGCCCGGTCGTGATGACAAGTGTTAAATAGGTCTGATAGTGATTATAAAACTTGGCTATAGATGGGAAATCTGGAGATTGGAAATTCCCAGAACTTGAACCCTTGAGTATGGTAAAACTGGTATGACGACATGAAAACGCGTGTGACTAGAAACCTGTACAACATGTGAAGTTATAGACCGGATAGCTAGAGTTGATGCAAGTAAGAGGTGGCAAAAAGAAGCGAAAGTCAATCGCTGACAACATATCAACAGAGACAGTACATGTGATATGTGAGACAGGAGCCTCCAAGGGGAAGAAGGTCCGAAAACACAGGGACTGCGAGTGCTAGAAAAAAGAGAGCCAGACGTGAAAGAAAGGCAACCACGAGCTTACAAAGCTGGCAGCCCACGAACAAGCCCAGAAAAGCCGGGAATGGAAGCAACTGCGGGAGAGGCCATAGGCAGGGCCACATAAGAAAGCGTAAAGGAGGCACAGGACTGATCGTACAAAAGAGGTGCGGGAAGACCGGTACGGATCCAGCCAAAAGGGCAGATGCCAGTTACCCAAACTGCCATCCGACACTGCCCCATAGCCGACAGCGGCGATACCCATGTAGGTGGACAGACACTGAGAGAACAGCCGACCGAAAGGCTGCCATGGGGGAATAAGCCGACTTGCGAGAACCGCAGCAAATCGAGGAAGCGCCCAGGACCTGAGAAAAAGAAGGTAGGCATAGCCAAAACTCCACGGGGCGATGAGAACTAGACCCAGACCTGCTAGAAAAAAAACGAAGAAGACCCCGCATAAGCGACCCAACATGCGCGTGAGCGTGAAAGAGTGTATTTGTGCGAGCTGGCATACTAGCTAATGCCAAAAGGCAAAACAATTAAAAACTAGGTTTGGTGACAGGTGAGGCCCTGCTAGATGCCAAGCGGCGTGAGAGGCTCTAACTATGCGTTGGCGCGAGGGGATAGCGTGGCCACTGAAACGTTGTGGCGGGGTGTTGGCCTCTCGGTGACAGCTAAGCACAAGATAGAGTGGGAGTGACAGGTGAGGCCCTCTCTATACCACAGTGCGAGGCGACTAACTATGAGTGGGCCCGAGGGGGCGTAGTACCTCCGAGTATGAGGATGGGTGTTGGCCTCGCGGGACCACTAACCTAAGGCGAAGAAGCCAGGGGGGAATTACAAAACTAGTGGACACCTAGGACCCTGACAGCCAGCCACAGCTAACTAAGAGGGGAGGGAAGGCAGTGTGAGAGGACAGATGTGCTGAAACGAGTATTGAAACCTGTGAGGGTGAACGAGGAAAACCGTAGTGCCGACCGTAACCGAAATCAGAGTAAGCACGACAGAGTCCGGGTGGACAGGCTGAAAGGAGCAAGCACGGCAGTAGGAAACAGAAACTGGTGGTGGTGGTGTAAACCCCATGGGGGTCACGAGACCCAGTGCGCGTGTGTGCGTGTGCGTGAGAGCGCTGGCATACTAGCTAGGCCGAAAAGGCGAAACAATTAAAACTAGGTTTGGTGACAGGTGAGGCCCTGCTAGATGCCAAGTGGCGTGAGAGGCTCTATCTATGAGTTGGCGCGAGGGGAGAACGTGGCCACTGAACGTTGTGGCGGGGTGTTGGCCTCTCGGTGAAAGTTAAACATAAGATAGAATGGGAGTGACAAGTGAGGCCCTCTCTATGCCATGATGCGAGGCGACTAACTATGATTTGGCCTGAGGGGCGTAGTACCTCCGAGTATGAGGATGGGTGTTGGCCTCGCGGGACCACTAACCTAAGGTGAAGAAGCCAGGGGGAATTACAACTAGTGGACACCTATGACTCTGACAGCCAGCCACAGCTAACTAAGAGGGGAGGGAAGGTAGCGTTGAGAGAGGATGGATTTGAGGAATGTGTATCGAAAGAAAGTGAGGGTGAAGGAGGAAGTACCACGCCTGTAACCGAAAAGCAGAGGAAACACGTCACGGAGTCCAGGAGGTGAGGCCGAAAGGAGCATGCCCTGCGATAGGCAATAGAGTATGAGTGGTGTAAAGCCCACTGGGATACGCTAGACCTCGTGTGAGTGATAGGGGAGGGAAAGAGCTAGAGAGGGGACGTACCGTGTGAAAGAAAGAAAAGGGGGAGGGGAACGAGGAAGAAAAACGTAGGGGCAACTGCCACTGGAGGGCAGAGTGTACTACGAGTCTAGTAGGTGTAAGGGGATGCTCCACTAGGGAACTGCGCTGCTTAGGAGCAGTGATGCGTATGAAGGGTTAACAAACGCGCAGAGCCGGTGTGGCCACAGACCCCCGCTTCCCCCCCATATAAAAACCCTGCTCCCTGGCCTTGTGAAAAACCGAATGAGACTCGCCCACCTGCTAGTGAGACAGTGAAACACACACCAGATGCATAAAAGCAACATACATGCAATTAGAAGTAGCAGCACAGATATCTGCATAAATCGCCAGCATGTCTGCTTTCCCCAAGGCAAACTCTGTCACTTGCATTTTAAGGCAAACAGTGAACTGGGAATAGCATAGATGAAACAGGCAATCAATCATCCACACCGTTCCATCTCACACTGCACCCAGCTACCTCAAGCCCCAAGTGAGAAAAAGGGGAGCTGAGCAGGCACGTGTGAGATGAAAGAGCACATGAAAAAGCCGGCACCAAGACCCCATCTCCTCCATAAAAGCAGTGTCCAGAGACACTTGCCCGGCAGGGCCAGCCCAAAACCTGTCCAAGGACTCAACAAAACATTTACCAGCCATGCCCAAGCATCCCACCTCACCCAGAACTGCACCCGACAACAATGCCTGCGCGGCCGCATGGACTCACAACCGTCGGTGAGTGCAGCCGTGAAAAACCGCGAGAGTGCCGCCGACCGTCAAGTACGCCCGAAAGAGAGGCGCGGCAAGCAGAGCCACCAGGAGGGGCGCCGCAGCAGAGCCGCCCCCCCCCCAAGAGACCAAAGAACACCCGCAAAACGGAGACCCGAGGCTCACAGCGCCAGAGGCAGAGCCCAGGAGGACTGTGGACCAGCGAGCAGCAAGGGAACAGCAGGCCAGGACAGCAAAGCCACGAGGAGCAAGAGAGAAAAGACGACCCGACATGCGAATCGACAAAACAAACGGGACTGAGGAAGGTGAGGAGGGGGTGTAAGTAGGTTAATATGCCCCTCCCACAACTGCAGGCCAAGCCTTCACATTTATGCTCATAAACAAACAACAAACAAACAACTCATAAATTAATTTAATATGACACAAATCAAGTACATTGTATAACAGGATTCAAATAGTACATATTGGTACAGCTAGAATTAATGTAAGTCATAAAAGAAAATTACCATCTACTAGATACAAACTCTCTATATAGCAATAGTTACTACACATCAGTTTTATAGGGCCCGATGTTGTTAAAACTGAAGATGTTGTCATAAGTTTTGTCGTGTTACCACTTATTTTTAGTAATGGATTGCAAGCACTTCATTGGAAAGCACAGAAATCAAAATGTCATCTACAATTTACTAAATGGTATTGGAGATTTTGTATAATTTTATACTTGTCTGTCTTGATTAGAGATCTTCTTTTTTTCAGTTTTCAATTTGGCCAAAAAATGATATTCAAAACGAAATGCATCAAAATAAATATGTCTCTCCATTAGGACCATGATATAGGCATGTTCATAAGCATTGCTACTTTTTGGCTTGAACGTTAACTAATCAGAGTGCTCTAATCTTGCAAGTATCGTTTCACGCGAAAACCTAAAAAACAGTATTTAATACTTTATTGCTTTAAGCATTACTTTATGACCTGCCTGTCATGGTCCATACTGACACCAATGACACAGTCAGAGGAAAATGGAGGGTCCTAAAGAATGAGTTTAGGTAATTAGGAGGTAAACTGAAGAAAAGGACCTCCAAGGTTGTGTTTTCAGAAATATTATCTGTGCCATGAGCTACTGTAGAAAAGGCAGCGGGAGATTAGGGAGGTTAATGTGTGCCAAACCCATGGTGTAGGAAGGAGGGTTTGAGCTTTTTAGAGCACTTGGTTAATTTTGAGCGTGAGTACAATCTCTATAACTGTGATGGATTGCACCTAAATAGAAGAGGGTCTTCTGGGGGATAGGATGACTACAAGGTTAGAGGAGATGTTACACTAGTGATGGAGGAGATAGAAAGGAGGTGGGATATAAGTGAACACAAGGAGGGTAAAGATGGGGGGAAAGGCAAGATCAAAACAAGTAAGGTAAGCAATAAAAATTCACATAGAGTACAAGTGACTCGTGACAATATTAAATGTATGCTTATTAGCCTAAACAACAAAATGAGGGAAACAAGAGGCATAGCATACACTAAGCAATAAGACATAATAGACATAATGGAAACATTGTTGGATGAGACACCTGGCTGGGCAGTTAATCTAAATGTCTGCACATTATTTAGGAAGGATAGGAAAAAAACAGGAAAGGTGGTGGGGTATGTTTGTATGTCAACCATGAGTTAAAGCCAAATATTAAAGGAGCACTACAAGGTCAGGAACACAAACATGTATTCCTGACCATATAGGGTTAAAGCCACCATCTAGCCACCCTGGGCCCCTCATACCTCTACAAATATAGTAAAATCTTACTTGAATTCAAGCCTGCAGTTACATAGTTTGTCCCTGTTCACTTTAGACCTGCCCACTGCCTGCTGACATCAGCAGATGTGGTGGCCTGATCCAATCACAATGCTTCCCCATAGGATTGGCTGAGACTGACAAAGAGGCAGATCAGGGGCAGAGCCAGCACAATTCAAACAAGGCCCTGGCCAATCAGCATCTCCTCATAGAGATGAATTGAATCAATGAATCTCTATGAGGAAAGTTCAGTGTCTGCATGCAGAGGGAGGAGATACTGAATGTTTGGATGCATTTTAGGCAGCCATGACCCAGGTAGGATCTCTAGCAGCCATCTGAGGAGTGGCCAGTGAAGTTATCACTAAGCTGTAATGTAAACACTGCATTTTCTCTGAAAAGACAGGGCTTACAGCAAAAAGCCTGCAGGGAATGATTCTACTCACCAGAACAAATTCAATAAGCTGTAGTTGTTCTGGTGACTATAGTGTCCCTTTAAGCAACTGGAACGTGACAAGGAAAATGGGGACAATGTGTAAGCTGTGTGGGTAGATATCTGCTTGGGGCAAAAGAAGAGGACTCAGTTATTGGTTTGTTGAGATATGTTCTACAATACCTAACGTTAATATTGATGAAGCAAAACAGCTGTTTGAACAAATTGGGAAAGTAGCACCCGAGTAACACTTTAATTATTGAATATTTTACTTACCCAAGCATGACTTCTGACAGAGGGTCTACAACTTCAGCAAAGGGAATCATTTAAACCTATTAAATGACCTTCACGTCACACCTGGCACAAGCACAAAAATAAAAAAGATCTGGATCTGGGTATAACAAATCATGCTGAACTACAAATATTCAAGTAATGAAGCACTTGGAAAATAGTGAACTAGAGAAAGACAGATGTGGCTCCTGTTTTCAAAAAGGGTTTAAAATCTTGACATGGAAATTATAGACCTGTGAGCTTTACTTCTGCCAGCACCAAGACCCAAGAAGCAGTTTGTAGTCACTGAAGCTTGAAAAAGACCCTAGGATCGAAACGTTGCTGCTGGACATTGTAGCTCAATAAAATGCAGTTTTAAGCCTTGCAGTGCCCGGACCTTTTTCTTTCTTCAGTGATTATAAACAATTTAGGATCCAATCCAAACAATTTGTGGCATAATTGGAAAACTGTTTTTTTTGCCTTCTTTCAGACCAACAGGAGAAAGAAATAAGTTCCAATGGTTGAATTGGTGGACTTTAGTATTTTGTAACCTAGAGTTAGTGATGTCCCGAACGGTTCGCTGGCGTTCAATTTTCCCACGCTGTGTAAAATGACACAGAGCACTGTGATTGGATGGATTTCAAGCCATCCAATCACAGTGCTCTGTGTCATTTTACACAGCGTGGGAAAGTTCTTTTGAATTTTCCCACGCTGTGTAAAATGACAAAGAGCACTCTGATTGGTTTAAACCAGCCAATCAGAGTGTTCTTAGCCTAATTGCAGGGCGTGGCAAGGCTTTATAAGCCTTCCCCCGCCCTGCAGAGCTCAGTCTCTCAGCCCTCCATGGGTGAAGATGGATTATTTTTTTTGTGCGCTCGTTTTTTTTTTGTTTTTTTTTTTTAATTGCGTCGGTTCTTATGGCTTTTTATTTGGCCTTTTTTGGGGCTGAATAAAGAAGATTGTAGAAGAAAGAAAACATCAAATGGTAAGTTATTTTTACCAAATTTTATTTACAGGTTTTTAGTTAAAGGTCCCCCCCTCATTATTTTTAGGGTGAGGGGGGTAGGTAGGGAGATCATTTTTTTTTGGGGGGGGAGGGGTGACTAGGGTCCCCCCCCTTTGTATTTAGGGCCCCCACCCACCGCTCAGGGGTGGGGGCCGGGGGGGACAATAGGTCCCCCCCTTATTGTTAATCTTAGGGACCCCACCCACCGCTCAGGGGCGGGGGGTGGGGGGACAATAGGTCCCCCCTTATTGTTATTAGGGCCCCCACCCACCGCTCAGGGGTGGGGGCCGGGGGTGGGACAGTAGGCCCCCCTTATTGTTAATTTTAGGGCCCCCACCCACCGCTCAGGGGTGGGGGCCGGGCGGGACAGTAGGTCCCCCCCTTATTGTTATTAGGGCCCCCACCCACCGCTCAGGGGTGGGGGCCGGGGGGGGACAGTAGGCCCCCCCTTATTGTTAATTTTAGGGCCCCCACCCACCGCTCAGGGGTGGGGGCCGGGGGGGACAATAGGTCCCCCCCTTATTGTTATTTTTAGGGCCCCCACCCACCGCTCAGGGGTGGGGGCTGGGGGGGACCAGTAGGTCCCACCCTTATTGTTAATTTTAGGGCCCCCACCCACGGCTCAGGGGTGGGGGCTGGGGGGGGACAATAGGTCCCCCCCTTATTGTTAATTTTAGGGCCCCCACCCACCGCTCAGGGGTGGGGGCAGGGGGGGACAGTAGGTCCCCCTTATTGTTAATTTTAGGGCTCCCACCCACCGCTCAGGGGTGGGGGCCGGGGAGGACAATCCCCCCCTATTATTGTTATTTTTAGGGCCGGGGGTGGGGGCCGGGGGGAGAGGACAGTAGGTCCCCCCCCTCATTATCATTGTGGCCCCCACCCGCCCGCCCAGGGCTGGGGGCCGGAGAGGGGGAGGACCAGGAGGTCCCCCCCTTATTGTTATTTTTAGGGCCCCCACCCGCCACACAGGGGTGGGGGCCGGGGGGGGAGGAGATTAGGTCTCCTCCCCCCCCCTTCAACCAGTAAGAGTCCCTGTGGGTTTCAAAATTCGCCTGCCTATTGAAGTCTATGGCGGTTCGCCGGGATCGCGAACAATTGTGGGAGTTCGCGTTCGCGGTTCGCGAACCGAAAATTTTGTGTTCGCGACATCACTACCTAGAGTATTATATGTTACCTTCCTACAAACTGTGTTGTCAATTAATCTATAACTCCTGGTTGGCTATCCTAAAGAAGGAGACCATATTTAAAAGAAGAAAAACTACCAGAACAAGAGGGACATAGTCTTAAATTAGAGGGACAAAGGTTTAAAAATAATATCAGGAAGTATTACTTTACTGAGAGGGTAGTGGATGCATGGAATAGCCTTCCAGCTGAAGTGGTAGAGGTTAACACAGTAAAGGAGTTTAAGCATGCGTGGGATAGGCATAAGGCTATCCTAGCTATAAGACCAGGGACTAATGGAACTATTTTACTGGGCAGACTAGATGGGCCGAATGGTTCTTATCTGCCGTCACATTCTATGTTTCTATGTTTCTTTCCAGTTGTATGGTTCTAGACAAATACATTACTGGATACAAACTCTGTTCACAGTGATAAAGACTGATCACATGCTCTGTTCTATGCACTAACATATAGACTAATTATCATATAAAAATAAAAACATAACAAATACAATTTACTATAAAACAATAAAAAGTGATCATGTACGCTGCTTTCTGTACTGATACAGACTGATAACATACACTGCTCTGTGCGAGAATTATTCTACAGGTGATACTCAAAAAATTAGAATATGGTGCAAAAGTTCATTTATTT